CCCCCCCCCCCCCCCCCATTTGCTACTGCCATCATATAGTTCACTTGAAAGCATGGAGAGATGCATGCAAATCACTTCTTAAAGTGTAATGTTTTCTGAAAGAGTATACAGTAAAGATGTATTGGAATATAATGTAATAGTCTAGACAGAAGTATTAGTCACAGCCAAAAAAGGACATCAAAACTTTAAATTTTTTAAATACTATAAAGCTACTTTCTGTTTGTACTGCATGTTTCTGCCAAAGCATACTTCAAGACAACATCAGAAGAGTGAGTATGGCCCAGTGCCATGAAACACAGGTCTGGATTCATTTACCTTATCCCGAGTGATCCGGTAGCATGGGTTGCGGCGTTTTGATCCAGACATTTCCTGGATCTTATCATGCACCTTCTTCCCCATCCATGCTTCATTTTTATGAGACTGAAGAAGACTATATGGAGACTCACCCTGCAGGTAGACACATAATTAATCTTGAACGCAATCAAAGTTTTGAATTCATTGTTAGTGTAAGGAAAGAGTTTGTATATTTTCTCCATATAATAAGCAATATTAGTTGGTTGGTGATCATTCTGTAGTACGAACACATACACACACTAATGCACACATATCAATGGAAATGCAATAATTAATTATTAGGTGTCTCTTCTGATGTTATTATTGCAACATCACTATTTGAACAACATTAAAATGTAAAGATAAGTGGTGATTATAATTTTTATATGCTTCTTTGTGGAAACAGTGCATTGTAACAAAAGACTGTTCATACATCCATGGCCTAATAAGTACATGTACTTCTACACAATGAAACAAAACAGATGTTTCACTATATTATAATCTTTCATTCAGCAAAGATTACTATAGATTTTAACTTTATATGCTACTTTTTTAGACTTTTCAATAAAAATATGTTTCTTTCAGTATTACACTGTATTTTCCTGTCAATCTTAACAGGCAATTTGCTAGTTAAATATTAGTAATGATAAGCAAAGCAGGAGCATTTTACAATTGTTATGCATGCACCAAACTATTTAATTCCTGTTATAATGGTTATGTTTTTCATTTTTCACTCTTGTAATTCACACAGTTTATTACATATTAAATAAACAAATGGAAGTTGAAAATGCTTTGAGTTTTATTTTCTTAGACAAAAGTTGCTCTTACCAGCCATAACAGGATTTATAAGAATTGAGAAAAATGACTGAACACTCAGAACACCTAAGAGATAAAAATACTGACCTGTACATTGGTAATATCAAGGCTTGCCCCTTGCATGACAAGAGTGGAGACGGCAGTATGGTTCTGAGCAAGGATTGCCCAGTGTAATGCTGTATTACCATGCAGCTTATCTTGTGTTGTTGTGCAAGCACCAAATGTTAAGAGGAGACGTGTTGGATCAAGACTACAACAAAAATTATATTTAAAACATTTAAATCTCTCAATAACTTCAAAGAAGGTTTTCAACATTATATTGAACCACCAATCACAATGTATGAATGTGTCAGTACTCTAAATAAGAGAACTACATTTACTGTCAGTCGCATCAACAAGAAGATGGTGACTACCAATTCCTCTGAAATGCTGACAAATCAGCTCTCCATTAACAGAGTAACACAAAAAAAATTAAATTCCAAGTCTTAAACAAACCACCAAAAAACCTTAAGACTGGAAATACACTTTGTGGTCAAAGATAAACCTCATAATTTCATAAAATAATTTACTCTAGATCCTACCATGAAACATGAAGTTTCTTTTTAAACATACTTTACCCTTCTCATTTACAATGTTCATCAAAGCTCACACAACAGTCATTTCAGCATTTTATTTCTGATACCATCATATGTAGATAATTCTAAAACTAAAAAAGCTGCCTGCACCATCTGCTGACAACATGCAGTATTATGCATCAAGTCAAACAAGATGAAATATCAAGTACTCAACATGTGTGCTAATTTTCTGAACACTGAGTTAGTTCTGAGAAAAATAAAATTGAATTTGACCTTCAAGTAAAGTACTGGACAGATACAGAACAAACTTAAATTTTCTTGAAAACTTTCAGTGTAGATTCCAATATCAAAGAACACTATTCAGCACTTTTAGAAATGAAACAAGCTCTGACAGGTTTATTTTAACTTCAACAGCCAATACTAAATTCCAACAGTGCCACACACAGAGACAAAGATAAAGCAGATAATGTGTCTACTGGTCTATAAACTTACCTTGTAACTTTGTAGGAACTCCACATGAGTGGTGTCATGCCATTGCGGTCTTGCATGTTCATGTTGACTCCCTTTGCAACAAAGTATGCTACAATAGCAGTGTGACCAAATTGTGCTGCTAGGTGAATGCAGGAACAGCCTTCACCATCCCGCAAAGAAGGATCTGCCCCATGTTGCATGAGCAGTGTCACAGTGCCCAGATGCCCCTGCCTTAACATATCAGTACAGTTACATGGATCATAGTCCTTCTTGAGAAGCTAATGTTTTCTCAGCTGGTTAAAATAGTTCTGTCTTTTATGAAAACTGAACGTTCATTTCTATATAGAAAAGAACCCACCACAAGATTTATAATATGACACATAATTAATATACAACTTTCTTCATACAAACTAAATATATGGTGTCTCACCTGGTCGCCCAGTGTAATGGTGTCGCCAAAAGTTCACCCCCAACTGCATCAACAACTGCTCCCTTGCTGATGTAGTAACGGATAATCTCACAGCGGTTATTGATGGCTGCCCAGTGAAGGAGTGTGACTGTCTCACTGTCTGGCTGGTTTACATCAAACCCTGCTTCTATCAGTTCTTGACAGCGTGTAAGGGACCCATACTGAAACAAGAATCTTTTTAATGTATCAGTTTTGTCACATTCTGTATGTTAAACAGCAAATAACATTACAACTGTCTTTATCTGGTATCTTGTCTATTCAAGCCCCACATGATCAAGCCTATTGCTTCTGGCAAGGAAAGAATTATCAAGGTGTTCATAAAAACTTATTAACAAATTAAAAATTGAGGTATCATTGCGCCCAAGAGAAAACAGTTATGAAAAATCAAATATTTGACAACTCTTAACATATACAAGTACAATAAAACTTGCCTCAAACAGGACTTGCATTAAGAAGAAACCTGAGTTCATCAGGAAAGTTCACTGGTCCTGAGAAAGTAAATGAATAATGTTTGCATTCCAAAAGACTGTTCTTTCATTTTGTTCAGAACTACATTTCCCATAGACACAATTTTATAAACACTGGTTTGGTTTCCAAACTAGCGCAAATTGCTTATTTAACTTTTATGCTGTAACATTCAAGTTCAGTCAACTGACTAAATTGAAAAATGTCACTATAGTCCACATCCAAGAATAATATTCTTCTATAACTGCAACATTTATCTTTACTCTCCAAGCTGTAAAAATACACTGCTGATCTGCATAGTTCTACCACCTACCTTGAAGTATTTGAAGTTGTACATAAACAGCATAACACTGCCATGCTGCTGAAAGTTTCATGTTACAAGCATAATTTTCACACTTGAGGACATATTTATCAATGTTAAACAACTACAATATTACAAAAATGTGTTCTCTAAATATAATGAGTATTTGATTAAAATGTTGGTAATTTTGTGACTTTTAATTACTTACATATATACATAACCTGGTCCCCTTAATAACTTCAGATTTATACCTTAAAATTACATTCTTTTAGCAAAACAGTGGACAAATAATGTAAAAGAAACCAGGTTCTATGCATGTGCTGGATTAGATAATGACATGTAGCAGTACCTGCCTTTTTGGCTCAATTGATTCACATGCAGGGAAAGGGTTAGACCTTATTACACAAACATAATACAGCACTCAAGAACTCTGTCAAAGATGTATCAATATTACCTGTGTAGCTTTCACGATATCAAAACCACTGCAGTCATGCTCAGAAGAAGTTGTGACTGGCTCCTGAAATATTGTGTTTGTTTCACTGCCCTTATCTCCATGGTAACCAGAACCAGGTTTGCAACCATCCTTAAAGAGAGAATGCAAATAAAGTTTGCAGATCATCTCTCCTTTTATTTCATCCATAATTTAGCCAATCACTTCTCATTACCAAAATTAAAATTAAAGTGAAGGTTTCTGTCAGTATCTCAATATGTTTACTTTGGGGGGAGGGTGGCCTGAGTAACTGATGCAAATTTGTATCCAAATTACAAACACAGATACAAATGATTGAATTAACATTTTACACTATCAGACTGCATGATGTTGAAGTAAAATTTAAAATATAAGAGAGCAAATCCATTTATCCGTAGTATTTCAATAAAAGACTTCCAAATAAAAGTTTAGACCTTACTGAAATCTATATTATAATAATGTAACAATCTTTTATATGAGGAACCATTCTAAGATTATTTATAAACTTAGTATATGTTTCACAGAAGTACACTGGACCAATATACCAAAATCAAATTCACCACACAACTCTGGTGTAGATTCCCTAACAACAAATTTCAATAACTCAATATGTAGTATCATATCTAAAAAGTGGTTAGAGGAACAGACCCAGACATTCAATAATGTTGTCACTTCCTGCCCTTGTACATTTCTGGATACATAAATGTTTTGGACCTAATTGTCTCCCACCATAATACAGCTGAGAAAGCAAGATATGGCAGACTTTTCAAAATCCACGCAATGCTGAAGTTCACAATCCAGGCACAGATAAGGCAACCACGGCTTACCGTAGACCAACAACAGAAACCCCAAGTAAAACTTGGACCAGTGGACATTAACCTGAGTAACTCAATTTAGATAACACACTAACTCATGTGGAATTAAAATTTCAGTGTGGTATTACATGAAGTATGATTTTATAAAGTGTGACCTTTTACAGAGCTTTATAACAAACTATCGTTTCATGAATTGTATGATTTTAGTAGACAGACTAAAGAATTAATGTTTTTGCCACTGGTGATGACCTTTTGAGGTCAAAATTCATTTGGCACAAAGTGTCATTTAATGTGTAAACAGTTTTATTTGTATGCATAATTTGTATATGTCAATACACTGCACAGTATACAAGTTTTTAAGATGATGCGGGATAAGCAACAGTGTCATTAAATCTACATCAAGAATGAAGTTTTCTTAACTTTGAAGGAAAGTTTCCACTGGCATCAACAACTCTCCACCCCCCACAAAAAAATAGAACAAAATATGTATGTTACAGAATCCCTGAAGTAAAGTGAACCAACAAGGGACAATACAAATCCTGAATAGGTTGTATGGGTATTAACTCCAGTCAAAACTGGTGGGAAATTTATGCACCAACAGCGACATTTCCACACGTCATATGTGAATGTGTTCTTTACCACTGTAAACTGTAAGAAAAACTGACTAAAACCTTATTACTGATAATCATGACAATTCATTATTGTATAAAGTTTCCACTAAAGAAAGAAGGGGAAGAATTGAAAAAAAATTACAATTCATTACTTTGTCATACAAGACACAAAACAACTTACTTGTGTTACAAAATGCACAGGGTTGCAAGAAGCATCCACCTCTCCAGCAATCATTGCAAAGTGACCTTAGGATTGAGAAAACAATCTGTACAATTCAGATACATGAAGTATCCATGTCTCAGTAATTTGTGGGCTCTTCTACATATAATAATATCGATCACAGTGCCATACAAAACTCATGTTCATTCATTACATCAACAATACAATCACTACATTACACAACAAACATTACCAACATAACTAATCCGTGCATTGCATGTATAACTTCAATCTATCGATATGTCTCGTACCTTTATTCCTATATCACACTAACAGCACTAACACCAACATACTCATTGGTGGGGTATGTTCTGATAAAAATTGCTACGTAAGATATGAATAGAATAGAATGTAGTTTTAAGTACATTATACACAATACCAAAATTTATAATTTTTTTACTGTGAACGAAGTGATAAAAATCACCACAAACTGTGAGCCTACAGATAAACAGTATTTTAAAGTTTGAACAAGATACGTATTCGTTCATTACCTCCTGTTTATACACCTGACCGTAACCATGGCAACAAATGCAAACAATATGGCTGTCGTTTCGTAGTAGTAATGTGTGACCCATGGTGTATTGAGTGTAACTGACAGCATTCGTGTGCATGTTCATTAAATGTTCAAGAACATACGTGCAAGAACTGTAGCACCACAGATGTTTGCATTGTCAAAGGATATTTTTGCGGCTATAAAATGTTCTTCTCGTCTTCTTCAAGGTTTTCCCAGAAGTAATACTATCTGTAGTTCTACGACAGTAAAGAACAACAAAGCAGATGAGAAAAAACAAAAGTGTGAAGATATACCAGTTGAAAATATTAGAAATTTTAGTATTATTGCACATGTGGATCATGGAAAGAGTACATTGGCAGATCGACTTTTGGAGATGACTGGTGCAATTATGAAAAACAGTGGGCGAAGTCAAGTATTGGATAGATTACAGGTTGAACGTGAACGTGGTATTACGGTTAAAGCACAGACAGCCTCATTAAACTACACTTTAAATAATCATAATTACTTGTTAAACCTCATTGATACACCAGGTCATGTTGACTTTTCAACTGAAGTTTCACGTTCTTTGGCAGCCTGTCAAGGAGTTATATTGTTAGTAGATGCAAATCAGGGCGTTCAAGCTCAAACAGTGGCTAATTTTTATATGGCATTTGGTAAAGAACTCGTTATAATTCCAGTTCTAAACAAAATTGATTTAAAAAATGCTGATCCAGAGAAAGTATCAGGCCAGTTGAGGACACTGTTTGATATCAGTGAAAATGATATATTGAAGGTAAGTTGTTATGAATACAGGTATCACTCTTGTTTGGATCCTGATATTCAGAATGTGAAAGACGTAAATACCTTTCACAATACAGTACATTTAACAACACATCCGAATAAAAAGATATGTGCAGACCTTAATACTCTGTAGATAAGTCCCATACCTAAGTAATTAGTTGTCCATGCATATATATATATATATACAAGAAAGGTCCATGAAACATGACTAGCTTGGATATCTTACTTTTCAGGTATCTGCCAAATTAGGCACAGGTGTTGAAGATGTATTGAAAGCTGTAGTAGACAGATTGCCACCTCCCCCAGTGAATCGCGAAACTCCATTCCGCGCCCTACTTTTTGATAGTTGGTATGACAGATATCAAGGGGCTGTGGTAGTAGTCTATGTTACAGATGGTTCAGTAAAAATAGGAGATGAGATTGTTGCAATGCACTCAGGCAAGAATTATGAAATTAAAAGTACTGGATTGTTACGGCCTCATGAAGAACCAACAAATAAACTGTGAGTACTATTTAACCCACATTACAAGTTATGTATGTAACAGTGCAGTAGAGTATATTCTTATATACTGTTACAGTATGATGATATTATTTATGCCCAAATTCCTCATTGCATATTTTGACTTATTTCTATGTACAAAATTAGCTGGAAAACCAGAAGGGGATAAAAGGCCACTTTGGAGTATCAGAAGTATAGGGGAGAACAATATTAAAGCAGGTCTTAAATCAATATAGTGAGAGTATGAGCTTGACACCTTCAATTCACCTGACTCAGAATAAAATCTAATGTTGGGCTCTTGTAAACATGGTTGTGGAGAAAGATGAAAAGATGCAGAATTTCTTGACCAAATGAGCAACTGTCATCTTCTCATGAATGCCTCTGCTCCATGGACTTATTTAGTGTTTTAATAAAAGACAATTTATGCCTCTTTACAGCTGACTGGCTACGTCAACAACTGCCTTGTATCATCATTAAATGGACATCATAACCATTAAGGGCTATAAAATGTTAAAGAACAAATTTGGGAAATATGTTGTTCTCCAAACTGGAGTATACCTTTCAACCCAGTATGCATTTCATGTCAATTAGTCAACTGGGTTGTAATCACTAGAACTGTGTTTTATGTACAGACAAAACCAAATAAGTATAAAGATGATTTATATTGTTTATAATAAGTGAATGTATACAGGGTAGCAGGACAAGTGGGATACTTGACTTGCAACATGCGTTCCACCAAAGAAGCACATATTGGTGATACATTGCACCACAGAAATCAGTCTGTGACTATGTTACCAGACTTTAAACCTGCAAACCCTATGGTATTTGCTGGTGTATACCCCATGGACCAATCACAACATGTCGTCCTACGAAGTGCCATTGAGAAGCTGGTGCTTAATGATTCAGCTGTAACTGTTGCAACTGATTCCAGGTAAGAAAAGACAAAAACAAACTTTCTCTATTGTGCTAAGTCCTAAATTATGAATAATGAAAAAATCACTTTTATATAGTTGGGGCAACAGTTTGTGCAATATGGTAGTCTAAACATGTAGTTATGATATATAAGAAACTATTTATAGCACAAAGAATGTAAATAGACAACAAACTAAGAACTAGAACTACACTAATTTGTTCAGTAATATCTTGAAACAGCAATTTTCTTTGCTTAAAATACCTAATATTCCTTGAAGTAGGCTCAGGATAATCTTATTTTACTTAATATTTGGGAAGTTGATGGAATTTTGATCATTTTCTTGATACTCATGTGTTCAGTCCAGCACTGGGGCAGGGCTGGAGGTTAGGTTTCCTTGGTTTGCTGCACATGGAAGTGTTTAACCAGCGTCTTGAACAGGAGTATGATACTCAAGCTGTCATCACAGCACCAAGTGTCACATACAAAGGTTAGCACTATTAATAAGAACACTGTTAGAAAGCTGCATGTATGTCTCCTAGACATCACTTTTTGACACTAATTGTCTGATGTCTAAGAACTGTAGTATGAACATCATGCCACTAGATACCTCCCCATCTTCTTTTTAAACTTTCTATCAACAACAATCGCCACATGGTGGTTTTGTAAACATGTGAGGTGGTAATTACACTGTCATTCAATATAGTGCCCAAAGTACTGTATGGGAATCGATAGTTCTTTTAAAAGTATGCAGCTTTTAATAGGATATCATTTCCGTGAAAATAACATGATGATATCAAAATAGGGCATTTCGATGTGATAATAACTGATGAGTCAGTCATTTTAACTTGACATTTGAAAATGTTATGCATTTTAAAACCCACTTTACTTAAAGATTTGAATCAACTTTAATGCATATCTTTTTATTCATTTGATTTAATTAAACTTGATTTCTGGCACTTCTGCTTATAAGTATTATCATGTGTAAGTTATTTTACTTAAAAGCCTAAATTAATTTCTGGTTGTATCTCAGTAAGTATTCAACTGAGTGAAATCAAAAGGTTGTACATATCCATAAAATATACACATTATGTCTTACATAATATCTGCACAAAGATAACTGATTCAGACACAACAGCACAAAAACACTACTTACTACTTCCAGTATGTACCATAGGAAGTGCTAATAAAATTCACATTTTTATTGCTGCTCCCTAGAATGCATTTCTCCCTTCCTGTTTTCTTTCAACCCATGCGCTCTAGTCTATCCATCTAGTACAGAATACATTCCCTTCATCTTCCTAGATATCCACCTTCATTCCTAGTATTGTCCCTTCTGCACTGATAATGGAGGCATCAGGATCTTCCAGCCTGTCAGAAGCTTCTTCCAGTACCAAAATGGTTACAGACCAGATCATCAAAAAAAGGTGGCCTTAACAGTTACAAACTACAACTCTTTCACTGGAAAAACAAAAGCATTATTAGGTCCTAACTTGGGTCAGTTCAGACAACTTCTGTAAATTCACCTAAAGATTCATAAAATATATTTAAACTGTTTATGGTCTACTTAAAACCTTCTTTTCCTTTACAGCTAGGATATTTGGAGAGAAGAATGTTAAACGATACGGTGGATCAGAAATTACCATTACAAATCCAGCACATTTTCCTGATCCATGTATTGTTACTGAATTCCTGGAACCTATGGTGATGGGAACAATCATAACTCCAGGTAGGAGCTGTTCACAAATGACTGTTGTGGTGCACAGAGATGGTAAATTGTGAAAGAGGGCCACCACATGACAAGGAACCTTATAAATCAAATTTTTTAAATCAACTCCCAGATCCTTTATGACAAACAAAATTAAACTACTCACCAGAAACCAGAGCAATGTGTTCACTTTCTTAGTGCACTGTACATTTCCCCCACCCCTCACTGAAAAGGAAGAGAGGTGTAAGCAGAGTTGAGAAATTGAACTCACATTATCAATTTGACCCTTACTATGTATTGCAAAATTATTATACAGGATGTTTACACACTACTAGCAGATGTATAGTATTAAATTAACACTAGCATCACTTCATTAACAGTGTAATTGCAAAGTGACAGTTGTCACTAGCAGCAGAGGCTAGAGGTGAGAGGTACTTAGAAACAAGGGAAGCTCTTCTAAATATGAGGGATGAAATTAGAATCTTCAAAGTGCACCTTTTTTTCTTTCTGTTGGCCTACTTCCTTTTGTCAGAGATATAAGAAGTTTTCAGAGTAACTTTTACTGCTAAGAATTAAAGAATGCCTTCTTCTCTTAACGGCATTCAGCAAATTCCACTTCCATTTGCAGAATAGACTTTGTCTAGCAATGCATTATAGCATTTGGTTTTTACTGCAGACACATATCTGGGTCCCATCTTGTCTCTCTGCATGGAGCGACGAGGTACTCAGCAAAGTTCTACCAACATTGATAACCATCATGTGATTATGCATATTTTGTTACCACTAAATGAGATTGTTGTGGATTTCCATGACCACCTAAAGTCCATTTCTTCAGGTTATGCCAGTTTTGACTATGAAGAATATGGATTTGTTCCTTCCAGACTTGTAAAGGTGAGTACCTTTCATTATTAGGATGGAGAATTTGTCATTAGGAAATGCTGGAAAGATTCCACATTCAATTACACATTTTGTAATGAGTAAACCAAAGTGAAGGGCTTAATATTGCAACCACCTGCCAGATATGTCAATAAATCAAGTGGCTATGGAGTGGATTATCCCACATTTTCTTCATGACAACATCCAGACCAGCTCTAGGACCAACCCAACCTCCTGTGCAATAACTTCAGCCCCTTTCCACAAGAGTTAAGCAGTGTGAAGTTAACCTCTACTCCATCTACTACCAAGTACTAGGTGTGAAGCTGTATCTCTGTAACATAGGGTTATCTATAACTTTCCTCTGTGGAACACTGTACTATACATACCTCATTTTTGAGCACTCTGAAAATCTTGTCTTGGCTAATGTCTCTAGTTAAGTCTTAACGACTCTTTTGGAGTCTTCCTTTCTTGGCAAAGGTAAAGGATTCAATTTCTGAGGTGGGTGCACCCATGAGGCAGACACTGCTATCATTGGCTGGTACAGTGATACATAGCTTAGTGGGCACTCTGAATTATAATGAAGTCTGATATTCTTCACATTCATAAAATTTTGTTTGTAACTGATGAGGGAAGGGAAACCCATGCAGAACATTTTTGAAACGTGTGGTTGATCTAAACATGGCATTTCCAGTCCCTTACCCTCATACCACTGAGTCTCCTCCCCAAAAAGTAAGTTACCTTGTAGTGCAAACCTAATCTGTAACTGCTGTGAAATGTTCCTCTACTGTTGCAGTTGAACATTCTGCTGAATGGGATTGCTGTTGAGGAACTCAGCATGGTGGTGCATGCCTCCAAGGCATCTGGTGTGGGACGCAGAGTATGTCTCAAACTTAAGGAAATTATACCACGACAAATGATTGAGGTACAGCTATGTTTCTTATTCTGTCACTATTTATGTGAGCTCATCTATTGGTCTAGTTCCATTTTCCACTAGTTGCATACAAAACTGTTTTTTTATTCTTAAAAATTATAGGAGTGAGGTGAGAGTCATTTAGTACTGCAGCCTTAGATGTGTCTATTGTGCCATCCATTTCCTAACGATAGTGATGGTAAAGTATGAATATACCACAGTGGGGAAATGATAAATTAGGGGAAAAGGAAAATACTCAAAGAAAACAAAACCTGCGCCAGTCCCATTTTGTCCACCCGAAATTGTAAATGGACTGCCCTGGGAACCATGGAGGGAACAATCTATTTAGCAAAAAAGATGCTGTATGGAGTTTTATATAATAGGCTGAAAGTATGTAATTTTTGGAAATGTAGCTGCGCATGAAATGAAACAAAGAAACACTGGACATAAAAGAAAGCATTGTACAGAAGATAGGAAGAAGATTTTGTGATGATATGAACATGTAGAAAGGGGAGAAAACCAATGATAAAATTCACTGGAATCCAGTTTGGAAAGGTGGAACAAAAAGACTAAATATTCACTGGGTACAAGAATTTATAAAGCAATTAAAAGAAAGAATGTGAAGTGTTATATCCTTGTTCCTAGATTGCTATTCAAGCTGCAGTTGGAGGCAAAATTGTTGCAAGAGAAACTCTGAAAGCATATCGCAAGGATGTGACAGCAAAGTTGGTGAGTATAGATTTAGAACTCTTACTTATGTTACATTTAAACTATAATTCCAACAAAAGTTGAAAGATGTATTTCAGTAGAGTATACATACATTTCAAATGTCTTGTTTGCTACTATTTACACCTCACTGGCTCTGATGTTCCCTTACTACAGATACAAGTCTACTGTTACAAAATTAATTACACTGTATAGAATCATAAATTACTTTTTCTTGTACAGAAGGTTCTCACTTATCAGCAAGCAGATTATGTAATTTTCAGATTAACCATAGTATTTTTAGGCATGCCAATAACCTAAATATCAAAGAAAATTTTACTTACTTAGCATCTATCTAACCATGACGATATATAGGGAAGTGATCAAATGCAAGCTTCAGCCACTTTACCCATGAAGGAACTTTTTGACTTGATTTTATGAGTATGACAGAACATGTAGCCACAATATACAATGTTGTGTACATAGAAAAGCAATGATGATAAATGAGAATACTCCAGTAAAAGTTTAAAAATTATGATTATCTGCATTTGCCTGTTATTTAGTCTAAAGCATTTCTTCAACACTTCATTCTCATATGCCCCCAATCAGTTATATTATCTGTAAACCAATCTACAGTAGAGAACCTTTGTTATATCGTTACTGACATGCTATTCTTTTTTTCTACAGTATGGAGGAGATGTGACCAGGAGAATGAAACTGCTAAACAGACAGGCAGAGGGCAAGAAAAGTATGAAGTTGGTGGCCAACATTAGGCTGCCAAGAGAGACATTCATCGATGTGTTGAAACGATAGAGCTTCAAAAATCATACGATTCACTATAGCTTACCATCACATTGTTCAGCCACAGACTGCATCAAAAAAGGGTTACCAACAGAATACAGTGAAACATCACTAGTATGCCTTTTTAAGGACCAAGAATTATTCTGACAATGTTGGGATTATAGCTTCTTCTGATTCAGTAATGAGGTACAATGGTGATATTACACTTTATTTCAGAACAAAATTTTCTGCAACTTTTGGAAGTGATGAACAGCATTGACCGACACTTCAGTGTATATTGTCATTGTAAGGGCATATAAAATTAAAACCTGTGGAAATAGTTCTTTCACAATACAGAACAGAACAACATATAGCGCATTGAAGAGCAAAACATCTTATGCCTTATATCTGGGTGTTTTATCCCTTAATAGGCTACAGGATTAAAGTGACGAAATAACTTTCTGATCTGTCATGAATATGAAGACAAAAGAATACATCAAAGTTTACCAAAAATGCTGTATGGGAAGGAGCACTATCATGGTGCAAAATTCACTGGCCTAGTCAAATATTTTATCTTCTTCAGTGAATGTTCCATTGCTGAGCTCCATGGAATTAGTTAAGTTTTTTGTTCCAAGAGTTTATCACCAACACTTATGATAACAAACAAAAAATTTCCAATTGAACAAACTGAATCCTGATGACTGTTTGGCTGCTAAATCATGAAGGGGGTTAACCAGCCTCCTATTCAGTATGCACTGGAATACAGTTGGCCAGAAAGTGAAGCCTCACCTCTGTGTAATGCTGATTGGACCATCCAGCCTATTATTCATTGTGAACCTAGAGTAAACTCAGTCTCTTTAATTGTTATACTTCATATGTACAGTTACAGAATAACCAAGAGTAGGTAACCAAGTATGAGCATGTTAAATGATTGACCAGTTGGTGCTGTAATATCAAGTCCACGATCTGCCCTCTCTGAATACTGGTACTTAATTTCCGTTCTTTTATTTCCCCTTAATACAATACCTGAAATAAATATATAACTTACATAACATAGTCAACTAATTATTCAGTTTTACCTGTGTGTTACCTGACCCATGGCTGCAGTGCAGACTTAATTCCAATATCAAATGGTGTGTGATGTCCAATACCCAGCTGTTCAAGTCGTGAGGTATCCAGAGTTGTATCATATGGCCGATGTGTGGTTGTGGTGGCACTGGGCGGGTTAGAGTCTGGAATCACATGGGAATCATACGGCAGATGGAACACGCTGGCAATCTGCACCAACATGTCATACTTGGTGAATATCTCTTTGCCGCACCAGTGGAAAATGCCGCAAATGTTTTCATCCTGAAAAATATACTACAGACATTTAACTCTGAGATAATATGCAAAACATGTCAAACTCATTTTCACATGGATCTACTAAGAGGCTTTTGGAGATAATAATAGGTAATACAGTTGAACTGCTATGTGGGAAAATGGAATCATTCCAGTCTTTCATATTTTTCCATGAAATTAATTCACACAACTCACATATAATTTAATAAAATTAAAAAATAACAATGGGAATGTTCATTGCATTAATTTCCAATAATTCCCAAATATGAATACTAATGACAAAACAAAAGCAAGAGCAGTAAACAGTTTTTGTTTTTGTGAATTTTTCATACATTGAGATTCATTAGAATAATTCCCTTTATCAACTCAGTGATTCAGCTATTGTGAAATGGACAGAACAGAAAGCTATCAGGTCAAAAATGTTATATTTTACTTTTAGAGGAAAACATAAATCATGTCTAGAAGCAAAGTTCTAAAAAAATATTTGCACCTAAGAAGGATGAAGTGAGGAATGGAAGATGCTACACATTAAGGAACTTTGTGACTTATATAGCTTCACTTTTTGTTGTTATAACAGTGAAATGGAGGAGGTTACAATGAGCTGGACATGTAGCTAGGATGATACAAGATATACATACAGAATTTTGATCACAAAATTCACCTCTTGGAACAATGAAACATTAGGATCTTTAAGGTTCTGAGGATGGGAACTGGACTGAACTAGCTCAGGATAATTTCCAGTAGTATGCACTATGCAAGTATCTGTCACATTACTTGTTAAAATGTGAAGAAAGTTCACAATCAAGAAAGGAAAGGATGGGAAATTAAATTATATACACCTCAAGTCTCTTCACTGCCAACTGCAGACATATATCAGCAATATCATCAACATGGGATGGGCAGCGTCGTTCATAGTTAGAAATCTTGCATGGTTTGTCTCTATGAATGAGGTTGTTTAAGAGAACAGTTACTGCACTTTCAGCCAAGTATTCTACTGGACCATACAGGACTGGCACACGTAACACAAGGTTACCTGAAACAAGCAAAGCCAATGAAGGACACCACAGACATGCTTGTAATTTCATCGATTACTTACACCTCAGATGGCAGAAGTTATTTTGTGATGCAGATAGCAGAAATTATTTTCACACAGATATTAGTGATTTGACTATAAGGTACTCACCTCTAAGAATTTATTTCATGTTACTGTTGTGATTTAAATGCTAATCAATTTATTAGTTCTTGGCACACCATTTCCTGATGCTGAAAACTAAAAATTTAATGAAGTACTGTATCTTGTATTAAAACCTCACAAGTCTCTTGAACTGCTGCTTCTACAGTATTCTTATTTCTATTGCTCAATGAATTTTACAAATAAAGTCTTTGCTGAGTATTTATTGTCATTCCTAGCACACATCTCATCAAGATCTACAACTTTAATTTTACAATTTTTTTTAATGTGACATATTTAAGGAAATACATGGAAGAATTCTGAATCTCTGTACTTCAGCAGTTTTTAGCACCTCTTACTACAAGAAACGTGACACATGATGAATACAAAAATAAATAAAAATTATGTCACAGCTCTCTAAAGTTTCCTACCGAACGTCATGGTCAAGTGGTCAACACTTCTGCTTTGTATTCAAGAGGTCCTGATTTCAAATCTTAGTCCAGAGACTGGCTATCCTGACTGTGGTATTTAGTGGTTTTCCCCTGCCCTTCAGGTAAATGCCAGGCAGTACCTTGAATTAAACCACAACTGCTTCCTTCCACATCCTTTCCAACCCATTATTCACTATCATACTCTCATTCGATGCTATACAATCTGAGCTACTGAAAAAGCATCGTTAAATGAACTATAAATAAATAAATAAATAAAAATTTCCGTATCCTGATGTCCAGGGTCTAAAATTCTTAATAAAACAGAAAGGAAGATAAATGTATTCATTTATTCCTAATTTGCTGTCAGCAATACAGATGTATGTTGCTGTACGTTACAAACTTTCAGCAAGTCACAAAAGTTTAGTACAAGATGTTCTGTGATTAAAGAAGTACAGAAATGTATTTGTATGTGCAATAAATTAACACAAAAATGCAAATTCACAGAAATTTAGTGCATTCCATTGGGTAATTCCTTTCCAGTCTTGTTATTTATTGGTTAATTCAGCTAGCATGAATCTAACTGACCAGAGAATTTCGTTGTGTTCTGTGTTTCATATCTGTCCTAAAAAAAATGGATGTTATATTACCTTTTCCAACTGCCAGTGTGGCCTTTTCCCCATTCAACTTGGTTTTCCCATATAGGTTGAGAGGACTGGGCACTGCATTCACAGCATATGGTGGGGACTTGCCATCAAACACATAGTCTGTGCTGATGTGTAGCATCGGGACTTGTAAAAAATCTGCAATATTTCAAGAAAATTCATCACAGGTCTGTACATTTCTGACTGCCAAAGGTTCAAAACCACAAAAAACAGGAACAAAGTATCACAGCAAAGTGCTTAGTAAACCTAGCTAATCTTTGTGGTCTTCCTCAGTCCCTTCATGACAATATCTTAAATTTGGCCATGACTGCTTCCTTCCATATCATTTACAATTCATTAATCATCCTATGATTTGATTATATTATAGTCTGAGTTACTGATAGCACTGTTAAATAAAAAGACTATAGCAATACAGAAGCTCGCCACTGCACAGTGGGATAGATTGTGATTCTAGCCGGAAAAAATCGAAACTTGATTTTTTTAATCTGAATATTGAAAATGAAAATTCTGACAGAAAAAAGTGTGATACATTAGTTTATAATAAATATTATGTACTTTTATATGTAAAAAGGGCGAAATACGCCTCTAAATACGGAAAAATAATGCATGCAAGTCAAGTTAGTAGAAGCAAATATCACTACAATACAAATATAATTATAAAAGCTACTCTACTTTCGAATACACAACATTAATACATAAATATTTAACTCAGAGCATTATTCATGTCATTATTCTTCAAAGAGACATCCAAAGCATCCGAAGAGCTGTATCCTTCCTCGTCCTCATGTTGTTGCTAATCAGTATCAATATCCAGTTCCTTCAATAATTTGAGTACCTCAGAAGGTAAATGTGGCTTCCTTGCTCTCGAGGCCTGTTTAATCTGCGATATTAAAGGATCAGAAGAAACTAGTAACATGTGCAGGACATCTTCTAAATTTCATTCGCACGAACATTTCCTGGCGTTATCGAGTCTGTATCTTCGCACATCTTTGTGCGTGCCCTCCTGGGCATCTTCAGATAACAATCCGATAGGCAGAATGGCAGATTCTATAATTTTTCCGCCATGAAACAGTATCTTGTCGACACTTGCAGGCATGTAGTACCATGGATATAAATTAACTTATAAATTTGCTGTTTCCATGGCATATTTATCAAATGCCTCAACATTCACTGTGTATCCACAGGACAAGATGCACAATATTATAGAAAATGAACGAATAAGATCTTCATTAATTCCAGAAATATTCGCCGATACTTCATGATTTTCCACTAAAGGCTGAATTTTTTCCGTTTTCCTCTATCACTACATTCTTGAAAAAGTTTTTTTCGCCTACCCCTGACCCCACTTGTCGATGGCTCATCCCTGTTACTTTGTTTTATCTGCTCTACTAATGTTTCTGGCAAATTTGGATTCACATCTAACCAGTTAGAATTCTTATCTAAAAATAAATTCTTATTGCGGAGTCACTGTACCCACTTTTTATTAAAATTGCTAGGCAGATTCTTCAAAATCACTCTTAAATGGTTTCTATTTTCGGAAGAACATTCTACAATATCTAATCTTTTAAGAATATAAACATAAAGTTCATCACAATCTGTATTCCTTTTGCACAACAACGGAAATGTTTCTCGGTACGAGATTGGCGGAGGTGCTCCTAATTAAGGAAAAAATTCACGACACTCACATTAGCAAAAACTAGCAAACGAAACAGGTCTCATCTTAAAGTGCATACTCTAATCTATATTTTCACGTGAATTTGGTCGTGACTCTCGATGACTCTAGCAACTAAAATTCTATGTGAACATTGGAAAGATGAAAAGTGATCAGTAAAAGCACCATAATTAAGTTAGCGTGCCATATGTATAAAAAGAATACAGATATTTATACAAAACCTATTACAAAATATACTACATACCTTCCTCAATAACTTCCATTTAAAATATCAAAAGATTTTCCCTTCGTCTGCTGCTACAAGGGTCTTGCATCCAAGCTGTCTGGAACATGACTACTAACATAAACATCTCTTCCTCCTTCAACACTAACAGATAAGAGAAGCTAGGGTGCGCTAGTCTTGTTTAAAACACTTGTTTAAAACACGTATTCTTGCCATTTTCTTATAGAAGGGGTCTTTATTAACAATATCCAAGCAAAAATTCTAACATATTTAAATGCGAGAAAAATTATTTTTTTCCGGCTAGAATCGCTATCTATCCCACTGTGCACTGTACACAATCCTGAACCAGTTCACATCCTCACAATCCATTCCTCTAAAATGCATTTTAACCTTCACTACCATTGTGTCATGGTTCATATACAGCCCACCTCACCACGCATTGCACTAGCATACAACTAAACCTTTAATGTTGAAGTTACATTATAGCCAGCAGCCCTGTAATACAGGAGTTTGAATCCCCTGTACAGTAAAGATAAATAATATCCAATTTTTTCAAGTGATTTCTTTTCTAGATATTTTCCAACAAAATTCTGAATGTTTCTTAATTTCCCCATGTATCTTACATGTTGTCAACTCCATTCTTCTTAATTTAATTCCCACAACAGTATTAGGTTAAGAGCACAAGATGTAAATTCCCTCATGAAATTTTCTCCATGTTTTATTTCCTCTCTAACCTATCCACATTACACTAAACAAAATAATTTACACATGCTTCATGGCACTGCTATGCACTAATGTTCTAGATATGAGTTACACTCAGAAGTTGGTAATTCTGACTAATGCTCTTTGTGGTTTTGATCAGCCTCTACACATAACACTGAACTGATAGTGTAAAACAGGTTGTCATGCCAACTACCTTCTACATCTTTTCCAATTAATCATTCACATCATCCTATCACCTGATGGTATACAACAATCACAGTTAAAAAGCATCATTAATTAAGCCAAGAATTAAATCCAGGAATAACTGAAGCAACAAGCATGAAAATATTCTTTGGAAACTTATTTAAGTAATAAACTATGCATTCATACCAGCAATATGTGCAAGATGTCTTGAAGAATCAACATTGATCTTAGCAGCACCCACTGGGTCCAAATCAACTTTATCTGGGAACCGCTGTGCTGCACAGTGTATTAAAAAGCTTGGTTTAAATTTTGTGACTGACTTCTTAACTTCAGTATCATCTGTTAAGTCCAATTTATGTAAGCCCTCAACAACCCTGGAAGAAAAGTAATGTTATGTACAGAAAACCCAGGTAATAAAGTCATTTATAAGGAGCCTATACATTATTTTGTTTCATTTCCATATTTATATTTACTAGGGATAATTTAACATTGGTTTTCACTCTGTTATTCTTACACACACACAGAAAATTTAAAATAAGTGCGTGTTTCCACTTCATATAGGTTCCATTCAGTCAGGTCTTTCTATACTGACAGACCCTTCTGAGACGAATGTAGATGCATTCCTACGACACAAGCCCTAGGAATTGTTTCTGCAAATCAAGGGAGGATTAACTACCTGCTGTGCTATTTAAATTCAAGGCGAAGTCGAATTACGCCATAACATTTAAAGTAGACGTGTTACTCCGTCAGATAAAGAATAACACGACTATTTCTTAAACACTTGACGTTTGTTTCCTACCTGGAATATGCTGTACCGTAAACTGTCCAACCTTCATTAGCGAATCGTTTATATACTGCTCTTCCTAACAGACCCGATGCACCCGTGAGAAACAAACGTTTATGTATTGTTTCCATCTTAATTAATTAATAAAGTTCGAAGGCTTCGCGATCAGCTCTACTGATCCCATAACCTCCTACTCTGCGTGCAAAAATCTTCTCTTGCAGTCTACTATAAGAATCATACTTTAATACCAACATAATAACAATTGTAGCCCATTGCCAGAAATTCAGTCAACTAAAATGTATCACACTGTCGAAAATTCCATTTTTGTCTATTGTTTATACAGATGCCCACCTGCCGTACGACCGAATGACGCGGTCCAGTGTAGGTACCTTGATTCGGGAGATCCTGATTTCATAACTCGGTCCATAACCCGGTTATCCTGAAATTTTTCGTGTTTTTATGTCCATCCAAGCAAATTAGTATATTCAATTGTGCCATGACCGCTTCCTTTCACGACCTTTTCCCACCAATTACCTTATCATTCGGTGAACTAATAACAGAATCGTTTAATAAACCATTCTTAATATAAACACCCGACATTACAGTCCACGACTGTAATTTTGAGTCTTGAAAGGAATGGAGGAAGTCCGTATCTTTCCCCCTTCCTCTCCTAGCAAGTCAAAAGATTACAGTCGTAGACTGTAGACACAGGACATTTAAAATACTTTCGATATGCGGTTTCCATTATACTCTATGAACTTATATTTAACTCTTTGACCAATGCCATGAAAAGGGCTTTACTTTCAGGGTGGAACGTAAACTTAAATATCTGTATATTTACAAACGTTAAATTTTTTATCTGTTTTCATGCCATCGTGCGGTACCAAACCAAATTACAATCTTCATAAGTAATGCGTGATGCACTTTCAGTACTATTCACTTAAAATCTTGTTTACATGGGAGTCTCTAATTATTAATTAAGCTTAAAAAGATAATACAAATCTCCAATAGTGATCAGAAATAAAGATTTCTCAATATAGCAGTTTTACACCCTTCGAAATACTTTGTTTTGATGACAATTGCGCACGCTCGGTCATGTGCTTCTGAGTCTTTTGTTTGTTTTATATCTGTAGCCGATGTTGAGTATAGTGACGTACGGTTTGATATTGGAAGTGTTTGTGTAACCATATCTGACTCAAAAACAAATTTCTGTGTACTTTCTCGTCAACTTTTAGTGGGATTATTTTACCTTTGGAATTTTCCTCTTGTCCTAGTGGTACATATAATGTAGTTTATATACACTCACCATCATTAGAATATGAAAACGTATCGGAAGAAAATATTTTTGTTAGTTTTATCATGTTTTTGCCATAGCTTGCTTAAACTATACAGCGTTCTCAGTCTGCATTATTATTTCGTTTTGTTTTCATGTAGTGGTGTTATGTGTGTAGCGTGGATAATGAAAGTTGGAGGATTATTGTCGTGCTTGTGTTTGTTACTGTTTCAGCTTGTCAATAATTGACCATGCGTATCCTCTACAGTGTTATTACGAGAGGCACGGTAGTCCTCACAAAACATGCATCGTGTGCCGGGAACTTCACAGAAGTCACACAACAAATCATAGCTAAAATCCCTTCTGAAAATGCCAAGCTGACATATTCCCATGGCAGCTATCTTTTCCATTATATATGTGAGAACAGAATAATATACATGTGTATTACAGATGATGTGAGTATAATAACCTTCCAGTTTTTTTTTCCTTTTCTCCTGTATTTACAAATTCTTTACCAGTATCTCCCTTCTGTTGGGCCCCATGTTCTACTGTACTGAGAACCTGCTTCATACCTGGTAACCATTTATAATTTCTTGCTAGTATCCAGCTGCTGTTGGACCATCACAATATTTAATCTGGTAACAATGACATGAAACTTTAATAAAGTGTAATACAAGGATATATTGCAAGATAAGTCATTAAAGAGGCTAAACAAATGCATTACAGTAAACTGATACTAGAGTCAAATAGTAAAATAAAATCAGTCTGGAAAATTTAACAAGGAAATGGAAATATTCTACAGAAGTGACCGCATAAATCTTATGTTCACAACAGTCAGTGCAGTTAAAAGTAAAGTAAAGTAAAACTTTACTCAAAAGTTGTGCAGACAGTGTTATTGTTTATTTAAGTTATCTTTGCAATCAATCACTGGCAGTAGGAGTTTCTCCAGAATTACTTAAATATTCAAAAGTTAAACCTGTATATAACAAAGGTGAACAGTCTTGCATATCTAACTACAGATGTTTTAGTCTGTTTTACTTACTTCCACTTTATCATGTCATACAGAATTATTGTATATGGAAACTCAACAGACAGCAAAAAGTATTTTACACCTAAAAGAAAATCATTCGAATAACAGCACCCACTAAAGGGAGAGCTTCATATAGGGAATTCTTTAAGAAATTTAATATTCTTCCACTAGCCAGCAAATTCTTCTCATTATCATCATTTGTAGTGGACAACATAGAAGATTTTCAAACAAACTCAGATATCCACAATATAATTACAAGATACAGATATAATCTTCATATGCCAAACAGGCATATGAAGGATCTATGGAATGTAAATAAATTCTATTTTATTACAATTTTTGCACTCATACTGAGCTACTGTTTGAGGCCCGGACACTGTTCACATACTCTATGTTAGTACCTAGCTACTATTTAGGATTGTAGCCAGTATTTATGAGTTCTGTGTTATACCCATCTGCTGTTTGACATCTGACTATCATTTAGAGTTTGTATTCAAGACCCAACTACTATTTGAGTAAATACAATGATTGAGCTACTAGGGAACCACTACTCACAATTTCTGTGTTAGCATCCCTGTACCCTTGAAGACCTGACCTGTCATTAATTTCTGTGCTTAGAACCTGCCTGCTGTTGAAGGTGTAATTGGTATTTATAATTTCTTTGCCAGTAGCCAGCAACAGTTCACAATTTCATGGCTAGTACTGTCCCTCTTGTTATATTTATAATTTATTTGCTGGTGCTTGGGTGTAATTTGAGTCTATTCTCTCTTAAGTGCTAATGTTTAATGAAACAGTTACAGGACATTCATATTTGCTTGCAAGAGGTTTTGATTGATGTTTCACATTTTCACTGCAAGTACTGCAATACAGTGTAAATTCCATTTTTTGATTTTCTGTAGGAATTTGAGCGTTCAAGGGCTTTTCTGTTTCTGAATGAAATCAAGCAGAGGTTCCAAACAGCTTATGGGTCCAGAGCAGATACAGCTTTAGCATATGCAATGCACACAGAATTCTCTCAAGTTTTAGCCAATGAAATGGTAAGTCTTCTAGGAGTGGTATTTGAGTCAGTTTGCCATCTTAAATTGCAGAAATTTATTTTAATCAGTAAGAATATTTCTCAGAATTTTTGAGCAAGTTTGTAACTTGGGTGTTCATTTCTTGCAGATTAATATACAAACTTTAAAATTCAGAATTACTTTACTGCATAGTAACAATGCTGCCCTATGATCCACTAGGAGTAACAGGAAATAACTAACTAACTAATAGTAACAATACATTTTTTGCTGCTTTTGCAAGTCAGAATTCATGTTTTATTCTTACTAGGATCAGTTCCAACATAACATGAATTAGATTAAACTAACTAATCTAAGTAAGACTTGAGGTTCTCACAGCGGTGAGTATGAAGATTTCTGTCTTCTGGGTTATTGCGCTGTGTAGTCTGGTCGATGTTAACCAACGTTTCAGAGGTCATACTGCCTCCGTCATCAGGGCGATGACGGAGGCAGTATGACCTCTGAAACGTTGGTTAACATCGACCAGACTACACAGCGCAATAACCCAGAAGACAGAAATCTTTAACTAATCTAACATGTTACCAAATTTTGATTTGTTGATGAAATATATAAGAATGTTTTCTTACAAGGAGTATTCATTTCACCTTTAATAGTACATCTACAGACTTCTGTCAGTACTGTTGGGTCTGGCCTCTGAACCCTTGCAAGTTGAAGTATGGGGAGAGACAAGCTAGTGAAAGTAGAATGACAGTTGCATATTGGGACCAACTACATATAGAGGCAGTTAGCTAATCAGCAGGGGACTGCTTATCAAATGGATCTAACTGTATCTACCTTAAACTTATTTGATACTAATAATTTAGTACACATATGCAGGTACTATTATGATGGATGTCCAAGAAAGAATGCTTGGATACCATGCATATACTTGCAACATGGCTATCTGTTGATTTTGCTTTTGCTCACATAATGTTTTTGACAGTTACACTATTTACTGTTAGGGCCCCAGCTTTAAAGCCCCAAACAGAATGTGAAAATTGTGATGTTAATGGTGAGGGGATGTCTTATGATAAGAAGGACAGGAAACTGCATCTCTGACAGTTTTCATGTGCAGTTCTTATAAACTGGTTTCTGTTATATATCCATTTCAGAAACATTATTCAGAGTCACAAGAGATTGACACCATCTCCCGAGTTCATGGGGAATTGGATGAGCTGAAGAACATCATGGTTAAAAACATAGGTGAGTTAGTTACAGAATGTTACAATAATCATAATTTTATGTTTTTTGGCTGTACAAAAGATGGTACTGTTATTACACCACTTACTGCAGTTCCTTTTGAGACCAGGGCTGAATGGTCAACTGGGACAATCCCTTATTGGGCATAAACTGAATGAGAGTCATTAAACGATGACCACTCAAATTTTTACCAGAACCACAATTAAGGGCAGAGAAACTGTCACATGAAACAATGGTAGGGTTTATTTAAAGACTTTGTTGTTTCTTGAATTCTCTGCATCTGTATAAATTGCTCAGTCTGTAGTTATGGGAAGGATATGCATGGCCACCATGTAATAGCTTGTTGATGTTACATATGTTCAGAAATCAGTGGATATGAAATTTATGTTGCTTGTAACAAAGCAAACAGTTGTCAGTTTAAATATAATAATTTATGAACTTTGTAATTTGCAGATAATGTGGCTATGCGAGGAGAGAGGCTGGAGCTGTTGGTGAACAAAACAGAGAATCTTAGTGCCAGCGTGAGTATTTTCCCTTGTATGGTATAAAAGCAGTGACCTAATTTTCTCAAATAATGAATTTCCCTTATTTGGTTTGAACATTAGAACAGAGATAAATTGATGCAATCAGTATAAATGATTCCACATAAAAACTGTAATTTTAATATGGGCTAGAATAATTCACTTAGTGAAGTGACTGGCTAGAGGTAGGGATTTTTTTCTTTGCCACTGGGGCCCACGTAGGATCCCATGTAATAAGTGTCATGTGGCTTTTTTCTGAGGAATGAAGCTGACCGTTCACCTCCACCAGGTGCTGAAGTTAATATATAGCAGTTTTCCTGCACTCCCCCTTATTTGCCTTCATGTGTGATGCTTAGGTAGAGTGACTTTTATCACTTTACTAAAAATAAATGGAAAGATTTGCAATAGTAACCTAATCATATTATTAGTTGGTAGGATCACAGAAAAATGTCTATAATTTCTTATTGTAAACATATGCAGATAATCTGCATAAGTATGTATTCACTCAAAAACACATTTCTAGGTGTGACTAATTTGTGTTATAGTCTGTAACTTTCCGTAAGACAAGCCGCAATCTGGCACGCTCCATGTTCTGGAAGAACGTGAAGTTGTACGTCATTATTGGAGTAGTAATCGCAGTAAGTACATTGTCTGATGTTTTATACCAGTTGTGAATATCCTCTTCCCTTTATTTTCTTTCATGAAAGAAACACAACTCTATCTGGAATGCAGATGTTTTCAGTGAACAAAAATTGGAATAATTATAACAAATATTCTTACAGTCCTTTGACCTTCAAGGCACAAGACCAGTACACTGACCCACAAGTTAAACTGTATTTTATTTAAACTACATTTTATGCTTCCTATTTTTCTTCTTTAAACATTTCTACTTGATGTGCATTTTACTGTTGTATAATAAGTGTATATTTTCCAAATAAGTCATAACAACATGAGATATGTAGGATGAAATCTGTGCAATAGGGAAGTATCTTCCATATTCAAATGGTGTTACATACATCACCAGTCCCATATGCACTAATTTCATGCACATCATCCAAAGAACACATAATGTTTCAGTTCTTTCTTAAAATCTTGTCTATTAGTAGCATTACAGTCAGTTACATACCTGTTAGACTGTGTCATATTGTATGCAATTATTGGACATAACAAGGCAGAATTCTATTAGATGAATGTCAAGTCTAGTAATCTCCTTACACACAATCAAATCCTCTTCGTTCACAATGTAGTACATTATTCATTATCACATGGCAACTATATTGTTATTTAATTGTCCCCTGCACAAGAATAATGACATGGGTTAGATTTGTTCATTTCATGCATGTTGTGAAACTCACTTTCTGCAGTCTATTTGAAACCTGTTAAAATCATGTTGTACTTGTTCATCTTGACATCCCTATGGGCACACAGTATGGAATAATATTCTCTCACTAGGTTTATGAGAACAGTTGCATTATTCACTTGTAAGTTGGTACAGGAACAGTGGCACATTTGTAGTACGTGGAGTACCAGTCCTGCAGTTTTACCATTGTTTTGTTACAGTTGATTATCTACTTCATTGTTTCCATGACATGTGGAGGCCTTGCTTGGCAGAGCTGTATTGGGAACTAAACAAGATATTTTACCAAGTGGCATGAAGATGGGTTCCTGAGTTTCTGTGAAGTCTCAGTTCTCATTTGTCATCACCATGTTACAGTCAGGCATTGAAGTATCGGTTGCTGTAGTCTTCTGTTCTGTTGTTTTGCACTGATCACTGAGTGGCAACTTAACTGGATTTTTACAAACTGGTTGCTTCTTGCTTTGCATCTTTACATTACCCTGCCCCTTTACTTATCATACAACTCTTTAAGTAATATGACCAATATCATTGGATTGTATCAGAGTTGTAGTTTGTGTGGCAAAAAATGTGCCTGCTTTGAAGTTTTGTATTTTCATCTTTCAGAATCACCATCAGAAGTAAAATTGTTAGAGGCAGTGTAAGTGAGAGAATGCAATGACATATCACTACATAACTCAGATTATATGTGTTCTGTGTTTAAATTGAAATGGTGCAAATAAAGCGTGATTATTTGGCCTTTGAGATACAATTTCAAAGTTCATATGTTACTTACTGTATATTTCATTCCAAATAATTATTGGCAACTGTGCAGTCAGGAAAATACTGACAGCAAGAGAGTGACAGTTATGATACACAAGACTGTTGGTACTAATGCAAGTAATAATTTTCTTCACTGGCAGTTCTGCAGTATTTCCTTGCAGCATACTTGAGAACCGACTTGATTTGGTTTGAGGGGGAGATCTCTCTTAAGAAAGCTAGCAAATGTTTTATACCATTCAGATTCTGTTGAATGTTTTGATAAAGAATATGTGAGTGCCAGTGAATGTAGTTTTGAAATAAATAATGAGTTTTTACATGTTTTCCCTTGTGCAGCAAATGCTTCCTTTCCTGGGTAGTAGTCAGACTGTTGGTAGGTGGTCTACATTTCTGTACAGGAAATGCTAATCTCACCCTTAAGTGGAATATTTATGGTAAAAACGAATATGAGCTTCAAGTTTTCTGTGTAGGAACAACATAAACAATCAAGAATTGTAAAAGCAGAAATTATGTAATGCAATGTAATCTTCTGGGTAAAATGTATTGTTTTAGGTTCTGTGTAAAAATACAGTAAGAAAGACAACATGGAATAGAGACCTAGAGGGGGAGACAGAGAAGCCTGGAAAGAGGATATTTAGAACACAGTGAGAGAGAAAAAAGAGAATAGAAAATGAATTATTCATACAAAGACATAAGTATGGCATTCAAGACAAGAAGACAGGGTGACACCCAGACAAAGCTGAGAAGCTGATGATGTCACTCATCTAGTCAAGAATTTTCCCACATTTTCCGAACCCAAAGGTTAATTTCCATGTGCACAAAAACCTGTCACTAGTGTCTGTCCTGAGCTAAATGAATCAAGTCCACACCCACTTATTTCCTTTTCATCCATTTTTATCTTAACACCTGCTCTGCTTAGGTATTCTGAGTGTGTTCTTTGCTTCAGGATGTTCCAGCCAATATTTTGTATACATTTCTCAACAGAGGAAGTGGTATAAGACATAAAATAAATGATGCCTTAAAAGAATACATAGGAAGAAACTAGAGCAAAACCACACAAACCTTGGCAGCATTTATTAAGAACATACTGAGTGAAAGCAAGAAAGAAAGAAAAAGGATCTAAAGATACAACCAAACGAACCTTGGTGAAGAATATTAAAAATGTACTGACAGGAAAAGGCAGAATGTGTAAATAACCTTCAGAAAGTATAATCAGCAAGACAACAAGAAAGAAGACAAGTGGGAATGGTATAAAATGGAAAATAATAGATACTCTACAAATGTGATAAAAAGAAAACCTACAGGTAACCAACACCAAACTGGGAAAAGAGTACTTTGAACATACTAAGAAGAAAGTAATGAAAGTTGAAATGTTCCCTGGAGATGCAAACAATTTGAAACAAATTATGCTTCTTCCAGTACTGCTTTGTTAGAACCCAGAAGGCTACTCTGTATGTAGACTGCAGTGGAAACCTCACATCTTACACAAAGTCTAAAGCGTGATGTGTATAGTAGTAGTAGTAGTAGCAGCAGCAGCAGCTCAGAAATTTGTTTTAATCAACAAAACACTGAAATAATGCTGGAGTGACTAATGTCTTGTGTGACTGGGCTGTTTTCTGATGGCTTCATTCAGCAGGTCGATGAAAACAAGGGCAAACTACACATTTGTACTTAGTTTCAAATAGGAACCACCCAATAAAGGGTCCACATAACAAAGAATCTTGGGATTTCCACTGCATTATTAGCATGCCAAGGATTCAGCAGCTTTATGACAGTCAACAATATGCCCCTAATCTCCACATATAAATACCATTGCATTGTATAGCCCATTTCTTCCACTCAGTAAATGGGATATTAGAAATGCTTGTTATATTAATGAATTATGTTATGAACAGCAATTATAATATGGCATAATAGATTAAAAATGTTATTTTATGCACTGTAATATTATATATGTAATGCAGAGTAAAACTGTTACGAGATGGGTTTTGAATTTGTCTTAGAAATATTTTAAGTGATTTAAAAAAGCAAATAAATGAATAATATGTTTTGTGACTGTTCTCTTGTATTACACAAGTTCACTTATGCATCCACATTGCACTTTCCAGCTAAATTTGGAGGAGAATAGGAATGTCAAATGTAAATTTACATTTTGTTTTACTGTAGCTCAGTCAGTATAGTGACTGGCTATGGACTGAATGACCAGGGTTCAATCCCTGATGGGGCAGATGATTTTCCCTCTGGCCTCGGCACCCAGACCAGTTCTGGAGCCCATCCAATGGGTACCAGGGTCCTTTCCCATCGGTAAAACATGGCTAGGGTGTGGTGCTGACCACTCACCCCCATCTAGTGCCAAAGCCAAGAATGAGTAGAAGCTATACTTCCTCTCCCCCCCAAGTGCCTACATGGCAAATAGTGGGACAGCTTTACTTTTACTTAACACTTCCCATTTCAGACCAACATCCTCTTTCACTCAATGTCAAGATCCAACTTATACCAGGTGATTCAAAAAGGACTTTACAACTTTGAAAGTGTATAGAAATTTATTCAGAAGGCTTACAGAATCGGTTGAGGTGTCATTTTGTAGCAAAACAAATCAAGTTTAACTCACGTTGTGCTGTAGTACCGAATTCCGTCACCGCGAGCGCAAGCGGCAGTGAATTTGAAAATGGCTCGAAAATTTTCTCATACCACAGTTAGACGAAGATGACCAAAAAGGACGCATTCACTTCCAGCAAGACGGCGCACCACCTCACTACCTCACAGAAGTCCGGGATTTCCTCAATAACCGTTTCCCAGGTCGGTGGATTGGTCGAACAGGGTCGATAGCATGGCCACCTCGTTCTCCAGATTTGACACCTCTCGATTTTTTCTTATGGGGTTTCATTAAAGATCGTGTGTATGTTCCACCCTTACCTGCCAATCTCACTGAGCTCAAAGCTCGAATCACCGCTGCAGTTGCAGAAGTGACACCGGATATGCTGGATCGTGTTTGGCAAGAAATTGATTTCAGGTGGGATGTCTGCAGTATCACCAATGGCAATCACATCGAACCAAAATGACTGTTTGAGGTAAAACTTGATTTGTTTTGCTATAAAATGACACCTCAACCGATTCTGTAAGCCTTCTGAATAAATTTCTATACACTTTCAAAGTTGTAAAGTCCTTTTTGAATCACCCTGTATAGATTGGTCATGTCCATCATAAATAAATAGTGCATTCATATTTTACTGGACAAAAATTTTAAAAAAATGAGAGTGAAATGATTAGTATATCAGCTACCACTCATAGCTCACCTGAGTTGAAGTTTCTTGTAGTTTTCTTCTGCCCTTATGAATAACTTTGAAGTTAATGAAGCTGTGGTCAAAGCAGTTATGGATGGTACTGAAGAAAAATTTCAAATGTGTCAAAATACTGGAAGAGGAAATATGACAACTGTAAGAAAATAATGAAACAGTTTTTTAGTCAAGATTGTTATTCCAGTTTATTGATTACAAAAAATATTGGCTTTAATATTGATTTACTGTATTCTTCCAAATAATGATTTATGTACCTTCCTGTTTTGCAATTCACAAAACTAAGCACAACTTATATACAGATTTGAGAATTCTTACAGACAGGTGGCCATTATAACATTACAATTACAATATCAACTTGGAGATCCTCCCTCAACATCACTGACAGTTGACCATTGTGGCTTATTTTCAATTAACAGTTAGATCCTTCCTGTTCTTTAATAGTAACCTCAAGAATTCATGTGCCCTGCATGCTCATCTTTATGTAAAAATGTGTCTCTCCTACCGGATGATTGATGCACATCTCTCACATAACTTTACCCAATTCTATACATGTACAGTACGCATATCCCATGTGTATGTGAAGTTCTCTCTTCAAAGGTTGCAACTTAAGAGGGAAAAAAGAAGCTGTCATGACTTTACAGTCACATCCTTCGGTGGTTGTAACTTGAGAAGAATGATTTTTTACACTTCATATGAATCAGACATTCTACAAGTCGTATTTGAAATTACGTATGGGTGAGTTTGTTGCCACATGAGTTACTCCGCCTTAATCATAGTTACACGATGTAAGGCTGTGCAGATAAATTTGCCTTGCAAACACAGTATCTTTGGCCAAAACATTTCTACTGTGACCAGAAGTATGGTAAACAATTATTTTCATTTTTATGTAAATTAAAACAGCTAAGGTGATTAAAAATATGTTTAAATAACCTGTCTTCAAGGCCTCCACTTTTCTTTGTAACCTGGTGTTCTGCTCTATTTGACACATACAGCACTATTCTGAACCCTGCTTCTGCATGCAAACTAGCATTTCATATTAAGCATATATATCACCTGATTTGAAGTTCCCACGGTTTTTTTTTTTGAAGGTGGGGATGTGTTTGCCAAAAATTAAATACAAAATACACAGCTAAATTTGGTACAGCGTGGTAAAATGTGGGTTGGGCATTTCTGAGGTACTCAAAAAATCTTTCTGAACTCCCACAACCTCTCATTGTCCATATTCATCCTGTCGGTGGGATTTTCATTATTTTTTATGCAGTGTTAAACTGGGAAATTTCTGAATGATGTATTGGAAAGTGGGCATGTTTCCCTGGAGCAACTAAGGAACATAACAAAAACTGTCAGTCCTCTGGATCTAGATATCATGAGACCTCTTGAATATGAAATAGGAGTGCTAACCTCTCTACTTCAAAGTCTGTATCACGGGATCCAAAACGTCAGATTTACCTCATCCAATCTCAGCTGTTAGCATGACAAATAACACAGTTCATTACATATAACGTGGGACCAGTTCACAGCTCCGAAATCGAGAACATTTCTAGTAATACTGCACGGCTAAAAAACTGCCCACTCGTGCACATTAATTAAATCACCACAGCTAGACATTTTTCCTCTTGTCCTGATTAACGGCTTCAACTTACAGATAAAATCATCACACCCATATACGTTTAAGGCATAATTATCATTAACTACATTTAACACGTAACACATATTTACCTTCAGAAACACCACAGGATTATGGGTGGGACCATATTTCCCATAAACTTCGCTAAAATATAACACACAGAATACGTTTCATAACAATGCTACTGTTGCCCTGATGACGGAGGCAGTATGACCTCAGAAATGTTGGTAAACATCTACCAGACTACACAGCGCAACAACCCAGAAGACAGAAATCTTCATACTCACCGCTGTGAAGACCTCAAATCTACAATGCTACTGTCGCTCCAGTATTCAATTTGTGTATCTGCGTGCGTGAATACATGATTTTCTCTTAGCCAATCATATCACGATCTTATCTGTCCCAAAGGTTCTATGACGCTGGCTGTTGTATCAAAGGATGGATAAAAACAGCCCAAGCACAAAAAAATATTCTATATATGACTAGACTTCCAAAATCCGAGGCTGGTGAAAGGTTTCTGAGGGTGTAGAGTAGAGTTTATTTACATTCCATAAATCCTTCTTAGGACTCAACCAAAGGATATAGAACATGTCATTTCATACAATATACATATACACTGGTGTGTTTACAATCTTATGAAAAACTGTGATCCGTGCTAGTAAAGCTAGGATTTTTATCACTTATTATCTAACGTATCTGAAGAGAGAACACGTAAAGCATGGCGACAGATATTGAAACTTCTTCGTCATCAGGTGACGAGGAACTTTATTTATATAATTTAAAACCTCCGTCTTGGAAACAGGAGAGAACATCTGTGCAAGTAATTGACATCCAAAGCCCAGGTAATTTTTTTCTTAGAATGTAAATATCTCAGACATTTATGAAGGAACGTAATGTTTCGTAATACTGGGTCACTACGCTGTTACAGCCCTGTTCTGTACTCATGCTGAGAATTATTTTGATTTTCGCTTCTTTGGAATTGTTACCGAGTTATGTGGCCATCTAGCTTGTCTTCTGATTCAGTTATGGACATGTCTGTGTTATAGACAGTAATTGCCAGAGCTTATGAGAACACAATGATTGAGAAATCAAAGGGCATCTCTCCCAAAGATACTGTTGTGACTGATGATAATTGTTTTACTGTGTTGTTTCTAATAATAGGTTAGATTACTAGACATTTTGAAGTAGGTTATTAATATTTATTACTTTTTTCTAGTGGGTTTTGTATGTTACCACACACGTGTTATAGCCTTTACCCATGGACTCCTTTGTTTTGCAGCATTTAGGAACATAATGCAGTCTCAAATTTAATTTAATTTGTTACAGCTAGTGAAAATATACTGTACTTCTGACCCCAGGTGACACATAGACTTTTAATGTTTGTTTATCAGATGACTTATGCTTTAACAAAATGGTCATTATAGCCATTCATCCCCCAGCAGTGCAGTGTGACAAATACTCTGCACCCACATCTCCATGAGCAAGAGTTGCCATAGAAGTGGCATTATGGTTCATAACTCAAAAGATATGGAAAATACCCACCTGAGTGTTTTAATATAGTGCAAATTCCCAACAAAACTGAAAATATGAGTAAATGGGCAGACTTTTGAAGTCCAGGAACTCTTGAATGCTAGTACTGCAAGAGTATTTGCCTGCTATGCTGGGGTACAGCCTTTCCACTGTGCATGATCACTCAGGGTTTGAGTTCATTACAGAAACATTATTCAGATTCTTGTCAATACAGTAAGAATAAGTGGTGTGTTAATAGACAAGAAACCAAAACATACTTGTTAGAGTAGAAGAAAGTTAGAACTGGAGTTTCACTCAAACATTCATTCACTTCACGAGTTTCAAATATCTTGCATATGAGCCAGAATCTGTTTAGGAAGTTTTGGGAATGTATCTGATCCAATGTTATACATTTCCTGCATCTCCTGTAAAGAAGGTATTGTTCCTTTATCTTCATCCTGTCTGTACCATCACATGTCCAAGTTTCATTAACAGTCAGAATTTGTAAGTAATCATGTATTTTTATCCTTGGTAAAAGCACTGATTTAGGGACAGGATCTGGCAGCAGTCTCACCAGTCTTTTCATCTCATTATCTGTTACATAATGCTAGTGATAACTAGCATCAAAGTGTATTATAACACCCTTTCAGATGGCTGTCAAAATTAGTCCCTTTAAGCAGGCCACAACTGTTTTGTAAGTAGTCATTTTACATAATCATCTCATCTCATTCAAAGCCAAGAAATCTCACACTAGCAGTTTAATGTTATTAAATTACATAAGAGGCAACCATATATTGTCTCTATAACCCTCATACGGAACATAATTATAGAAAGACAAATCCTTCACATCTCTTTAATTTTTGTCTGAACCTATCACAAATCATTGCTTCAACATATTCTTTCCTTTGTTGATTGAGGTCTGTGTTGTGATACCATGTAGTCCTGTAGGTGGTTGGCAGTGTTTTAGAGAAACATATTGTCTCTGTATTCAGCATACAAAATGGAGGCAGTATGTTCCTCCAAAATGGTAACCACGTACAAGACTATGTCGCATCACAACCCAGAAGACCACAGCCAACATTCTTTACAGCCATGAGAACTTCATTCAAACCTTGTGTGCTTTCTAGTTTCCTTCTGTATTGTATACAAAATCAGCTGATGGAGTTTCTAATTGAATTGTTGCTTATCCTTTTATTTCTTCCTCTCTCTCCTTTCTATCTGTCCAATTTCTTTTATAATGTTATGTATAGTCTCTTATTGGTGAAATTTATTACATATTCACTTCTTTGTGGTCAAACATTATAATTACTCCTGTCTCATGAAACATGTTTAAAGTTATATTAAACATTTTTATCATCTGTCCGTATGGTCTGTGCTTTACTGTCATGTAATAATGTTGAGAAACACTGGTGTAAACTGCTATCTCATGATATGTTACAGCTGATATTCATCTTCTCTTATCAGTCCCTGTATGGTAATAAATTACCTATTGCTATGTTTCTTCTGCAGGAGGTCATGGTTCCCAAAATCCAACTTATTCAACTAGAAACAAAGCCAATAATATTGGTAAAGTTGTGTCAAGTGAAGAAATGGATACATCTGAATTACAAAACATGAACTCTGCATGGGAAAGTTGCGTTCACATTCAGCATTCAGCATCAGATGTTTTGAAGAAAGTCAGCAATGGGAAAATAAAGTCTGATATCACAGAAACTGCCAGTCCACCATCAGTCAAGCCACATGTTAGAATGTCAGATGAATTTCAGAACACACAAGATGTTGAATGCCAGACAGTTTTGACTGGGGAATTGTTAGAAGGCTTACAAAAGAGACAAGATGTTGGGAGTCAAACCATTGGTACTGGAGATGTCATCTCATTGAATCTGTACTATGGTAACCTGTCTGGTTGCAAACTTGCCACCACTACTTGTGGCCCACTGAACAAGGGACTACACAGATACACAACACTGAATGATATTGAGAAATGTATAGATGTTTTTCAAGGTAATATCACACAACTGTCTCAAACTGTAAGTTGCACTGTTGAGGTCAAAAGCAAGGGGAGACAGGTTAATTAGGCTAAAATTAATGCTCATGTTAATGACAGTTGGTCTAACTCATCACCACAAAATTACTAGGTATTATACTTGTTTTTCACACATTATACTCTTTTACATAAGTTTGTTTTTCTCTGTCCATTGCATTAGAAATGGTTATCAACACTAGTTTATTTCTCTACAAAGTCATGTCCAATATACACAACAAACTGTTTGAATTAATTTTTACATTCAACAAATGTTAATATTTTGTTTCAATATAAAATATTCATATTCTTTGGAAATTTATTTGTAGCAATAACAAATGAGTGCCACCTTTGTGGATGTCATTGAAATTTTGCTGTCATGCCTTGGTGGTACATGACTTAGTTTTATTAGCATCCAAGGGAAATTATAAAACCCTTCAATAGATTACTCACCCATTTGTTTAATGTTTTTGAAAACTCACAAAAGGCAACTGATGTCATTAACAGACTGACTTATCTTCATGCTCACATGAGATAACTGCTACTTGATGAATGTCTTCTCTTGAATGAAACTACTTCACTTGAATAGATTCTTCTGTGTTTGTAAAGAGATCAAAATCACATGTCAAGGAAATATGGTGGACCTTCAAGAGTCTCCAACTTCCACCATGCCAAGTCTCATACTGTCAGCCACAAGGGCACATGCATTTCTATGCTATATGACCTATGGAAGCATGTGGTCACCTTTGTCACAATAGATGTGGATGATGATGCTCCAGGAATTTATGTTAGTACTGTAGAATCACAGTACGGTCCTGTTCATGATGGAGTATGACATCACTGCATGTGATATCCCATCTTAATGGGAAATATGTCTTAATTCTGGTGATTATTTTGAGTGGGTACAGATGCAAGTATGCTGTGACATTTGTTTCTGTTGGAGTCACTGTCTGTAGCATGGACTGAAACTTTGAAATTTCAGCTATAATGAAATCTGAATGTTCTGCCATCAATCAAAAATGCCATCCATGTTTTGATGGATTTATTTAACATACTTTTTCAACTCTACAAGTTATGTGGCATTGAATGGTAGGATTATTTGTGGATGATGAATAGAAAATATTTAGAAAGCAGTGATTGTGGCCTGTTTTAATGTACTATGAGACTGGAAGGATAGAAAAAAACCACAAAAATTTTCAGTGCATATAGCTGGTCTCCACACAAACTCAAATCACACGACCTCCAGAATACAAAGCAGGCAGTGGTAACAATCAACCATAACATGTTGTGTACTTATTTTGAAGGCATTATCAGTGAACGTAGGTCAAACTAACTCCCTGGTAGCAGAACCCACAGGTTCAACACTGACAACAACAAAACCTGCCACGATCCTGAGCCAACTCCATCCATTTGCCATCCTCACAGCCCACCTCCCTAAGATCCATCTTGATGTTATCCTCCCATCTCCTCCTTGGTCTGCCCAGTGGTCATTTTCCAGGATTCCCTACCAAAATTCTGTATGCACCCCTTGCCTCCTCCCTTGCTATATGTCCAGCCCATCAGAGCCTCCTAGATTTCACTATCCTCACTATGCTAGGTGACCTGTACAATTCATGCAGCTCCTCATTATGCAATATTCTAAATTCCCCACTTATTTCATCCTTCCTAGGTCTAAATATCTTCCTGAGCACCTTGTTTTCAAACATTTGTAATCAACATTTTTCCTTCAAGGTATGAGACCATAGGTTAAGCTTAATTTAATATTTTATTAACCTTCTGTTAATAGCTTCAGTGCCTACTAATGAACATATCCTAAGCTTGTTGCATCCATTTTCCAGCCTCACAACCTATATTTATTTATAAGCCAACATCAATCTCGATATTATCATTCCATCTTCTCAGTAGTCCAAGAGGCCCCCTTCCATGAGGTTTCCCCGCTAATATTCTAATGAACTAACATTGTATCCACTTACTCTAGATCAGAGAAGGAAAAATTACAGCCCCTGATTAGCTCACAGATGTGCCTGGATTATGGCAATGACAATGAAACGCAGGCAGGTACTTTTGTTAGATAACAGTGCATTTTGGCTCAAACTAATCACAAAAATTGGCATCCTCCATTATGGCCACATAGTTTCCCAATCTCTAATTATAGATTTCTCTTTCAGTTTAACTTCACTTTCTGTGCTTTTAAAATATGCAAACTTGAGATGCCAGATAAAGTGTACCTTAAAGATACATAGTTTCTATTTGTTTATTATTTTAACTAACAACACACTTTCAAATGCAAAGGTTGTAAAGCATCAAACAAGTGGATGATTATGAAAAATTTAGAAAGAAGTACCTACCTTGAGAAAATAAGGAAAATATAAATCTCAGGATACTGATCCTGGTGAGAAACTAGAAATAAATGCCATATACAGTACAAATGTTTTCTGGGATTATAAATTTCTTGGTACAAAGCATTAACAATCTGTGAACCCTATGCATTCCACAGACTCAATCTCACCTATATAGTGAGGAGCTTTACAGTTTATACTTTTCACTGAATTTTTAAAGTGATTTCATTAAGAAATATGATTGGAAAGTGCAGCATTGCATGAGGAAACAAGAAAGTTGTGGTAGAAGACCCTCATGGTAAGAGGCCATTTAGGAGCATAGTATAAAAATGCATCTTAGAGAAACAGAATATAATACTGTGAACTGGATAGGGCCCAATGATGGACTCTGTTGTTACTGAAATTTCTTGATCAGCAGAATAACTATCAACTGCTTGAAGACTTGTGTATCATATAGTTGTTATTAAACCACTTTGTAAATACCATTTATCACTACCTTCCTGGCGAGTGGCAAAGGGACAGGTGAGTGGGCTTCAATTATTGACAGAGGCAGAGATTTTTCTCTTCATAATTATGTCAAGTCTAGTTTTGGGGATCATTCACCCTTCTTTCCAGTGGTTACTGATCCAGCATCTTTCACAGGGGTTAAAATGAGTGTGATGCTAAGGTCTAAAATATGCAGTGTTTTACCTCAATGCTCCCTACACACCTCCATGTATGGTGATTAGTTGCAAGGACAACCTTACCTTCATGTCCCTCTCTCCCATCACTCTAGGCTTTCATAACACAGAGTACCCATCTTCTTCTGTCACTGTGACCTCCACCCCTAGCAGCAATGAAAGCATCAAACAAAGGGTATAAGTTGAAGGGTATATATTTTACACCCTATAAAATACTGTCTGGTATATTACACTCGTAAATCTCTGAGACAGAAAACATGAATATCACATCAATGAACAGCATTTGCAAGCTTATAAATATCACATCATGTTACAGAGTAAAAACTGCAATAGGCCACCTGACAGCAATAGTAGCAACATCAGGGCAATGAAGTGTTAGCTTCTTCATCCGTTTCTGTCGGAGAGATACGGATGGCCTGGTACCACTGATTTGTCAGGTCAGTCATCTGGCTCTTGCAGTCCTTCAGTTCCTACAATCAAAAGAACTGGCAATACTGCAACATCATGAGTGGCAACTGAAAAAGTGAAATTCACTAAGTAACTGGCACAGTATTAGAATATAAAATTATTGGATAAATTGTAAACAGGATTCCTTATATGACATACAAGAGTAAGAATAAATCTTGGAAGAACTGTCTACAGATGGAAGATATTTTTATAAATTTCTGACCCTTAGAATGGGCTGTTAAGCTTCCTTTGAATGTCTGGACTAGATTACAGACATTCATGAAATACTGTATGAACATAATGCCACTGGAGGCCACCCCAACCTCATTTTAATTTCCTGCCATCAGCAATAACAATATGGAGGACACTCAAATTCATGAGATGGAAACAGCACTAGCACCTCTTAATACAGGGTCCTGAAATGACATATCATAATAGGTCTTCAAAATATTGTGTAGCCTGTTATGTTAATTATTTTGTAGAATGTAATAAAACAATAGTATGACATACAAAAATGTTCTTTTAGCTTAATGGACCAATGGAGAGTAAAATGCTGTATGAAGCTAGATTATAAATATTCCTACAAACAATGAATAAAATATTGTTTATGATCAATTGCAAATGTGATGATTGTACAAACATTGAAGTTATATTTGATAAATTTAATGTAGGTAGAATCTGTAGGCCTACATAAGTAATAAGTTATTCATAAAACTAACACAATATGTAACATAATTACAACTTCAAGTAATAAAAAGTCATACATGAATAGCATTCAATCTTACGACCAGCTATGCACGAACCCAGCATTCAACTCTTGACCTACACTGTACTATATTGTTGAATTAACGTAAGTTTATAGAATTATCTAAACAAAACATTTACAGTACTGGAAGTCTGTAGAGTATAAAAGTAGGCTTTATGAGTCCTGCCTCAAACTCTTTGTTTACATTTAATAGATATGTAGGGGCTCAAATCTAACCCAGAATTTTCTGTTTCTTGAACACATTATGAATTAATGTCATTTTTGCAGTCTACTTTTCTGACTTTCAGAAGACTGCCTAATATGAAACAGGCAAGATAATTTATAGAGAAGTTACGATCAGAATTCCAGGTAAAATTTGGAACCACCATCATATTGCCTGTGGTGGGCTAGACATATAATACACATAAGGTCAAGCAAGAAATGCAGACAAATCTATTAATATATTAATTCCTTCAAAGCATAAAGCTTGTTTACACAATATTTAAACATTTTCTATATGCAAATGAACACACTGTTACAAAAATCAGTTGATCAATAATATTTTGAAAAATAATTGTTGTTTATACTTAGAAATAAACTAGCACCAATCCCTATCCTGAGTCAAATGAATCCAGTCCACACCTTCCCACCCTTTGTCCGTCGGATCTAGTTTAATACTTTACTTCCATGTATGCTTAGATATTTTGAGTTGTCTCATCCCATAAGGCTTCCCAACCAACATTTTGTATGTATTTCTTATCTATCCCTTACATGCTACATGCCTGTCCTCATTTTCCTTAATTTACATCCTAATATTTGGTAAAGCTCATCACTATGCAATTTTCTCCATTCTTCCATCATTGAAACCACTTTGGTCCAAATATCCTTCTTTTCAGATTCTTTCAATTTGTTTTCTTATCTTTATGTTTTGGATGAATTTTCACACCCATATCAAACAAACGATAAAATTATATTTTTTAAAATGTTAATCCTTACATGTGTTTTTAGATAACAACCAGGAAAACAAAAGATGCTTAATTGCATAGCAGAAAGTGTTCCTCAAATATTTCATAGCTGCATAAACAATAAAATCCTATCACTACAGAACCCCAAAAATGCCTTCTTTATTTTTGAAAGGAAATGTGTAGCTATATGCAACAAGTAATTTGAAAGTACTTCAAGATTAAATAATAACAAATTGGAATGAGGTTCATGAAGAAATTACAAGTATCTTAAAACCAAGTGCCAAAGAAAATATTTGGACACACATCTGGAACACTAATAAAAGAAATGGCAATTTAACAGATGCAAAAACTGCTTCACCTTTCTAAGCATTATGGTAGCCCAGCAACCAAAGTTTCCTTGCAGAGAGAAGAGTTTTAAAGGATATCCAACTTTCTCTCAAGTACTACTAAACATGTTACAAGATGGGTACTAAAGATTTTAACAAAGTTTGCCAGATATATTATTACATTAATTTAGAGACTTCACACTACAACATGTGTTGCTTCACCAACCTTTTCAAGTATTCAGGTATGGAGACAGATCATAAACATACCTACAATGTTGCATGCAAAATTTTTATATGTTGTAAATAGACATAGCAAAGGAATGGGTTTTTTTGTTGTTATGTTCAAAACTTCCAGTTACTGAGAAATTAGGCCTACTACAACAAACAAGATCATATGGTACTCATTAACTTTAACAAAATCAGTTGTTGGTGAGACATTTGCTGCTTCTCTGCTTCAGTAATTTTTCAACATCAATTTCTGTGTTGCAATTTGCATGCATCACTCCAAATTTCTTTCAGTCCTAGTTAATTGTTTGGCTTTCTCCTTTAAGCTGAACAGTTGTTTAAACTTTAAACAACTGTTCACTTAAAAGTATTAAGTACTGCCAAATACTTACAACATTCAGAAGCCATGTTTTCTGATATCAGATAAATATCTTTAGTCATACATGATATTATAAAAGTGCATGTGGGTCACACAAAAGATATAGAGGGCCACAGGTTAAGAATCATGTCCTAAGCTGAGAACTTGAAAAAGAGGACAACTCTCAAGTAAAGATAGTTTGCATGTAAACAATAAGTTCTCCTACCTGCTGTGTGAACCTCCGTGTGAAGAAAGGAATGAAGTATTTGAGGTCATATTTTGCAAAACCCTTGATGTGAGACTGGATGAAATTCACCTCCATCTCTTCTTCTGTATACTCTGACAAATGTTCTGAATCTATTGCTTGACCCTGCAACATGAACACATTCTGTAGCAAAGAAACACATGATTTAACCTGAGAATATGTGATTATTTTTACTCAGTATCTATCCACAAAATGTCAGAAAAATTCTACACTTCAGAAATAGTATGATACATACATAGTGTATAAATTACGTTCAGTAACTGAACATACTTTATAGATATATCCAAGACAAACTAGCATTATTAATAATTAATCTGGACAAAACATCCTAAACTATTATTGGTTTTCTGAAAATGCTAAGGCATGCATCAAAGTGACATTACACTTTGGTCACTCACTGTTACCACATGTCAGTACTGGATATGAAAGTAATAAACACTTTGTCTGCAGACCCCAAAACTTGCATTTTCATCACATTTTTGCACTTCTCTTTTATTAAAATACTTTATATCATGTAAAAAAGTAAAAACTGAGAAAGTGATATATTTTCATCATCTATGTATTGCTGCAGAGCATATTTTTCGCAACCTTGGTAAGTGGCTGGCCTTCCATGCAGAAGGTAACAGTTTTTGGATTAGTCAGATAAAGATTTTTCCTAATGCCTACCCATTCCCTAACCTGTGACAGTCAAAACTTTGTGGGTGCAAGGAATGCCAGACCCCTGCCTTAGTGCAGCTACCACATTAAGCCATACATATCTCCTGCTAGCCAATATCTTTACCTTCAATATTCTCCAATCACTGGGGTAAAACAGAAATCTTGTACTATGGATGATCTCACTCAAAATGTGGTTTCTTAACTTCACTTTTATCATGGCCTTCATGATTTCTAAAATTCTTAGTTCTGTAGTTTGTCAAATGAAGCAGACCTTGTGATTTTGAGTAATCTGCTGACTATTCTGTTGTGTAAGATTTGAGGTTTTCACAGTGGTGAGTCTGAAAATTGCTGTCTTCTGGGTTGTTGCAGACATCTACCAGACTACACAGCGCAACAACCCAGAAGACAGCAATCTATTCTGTTGTGTGTTAACAAGGCAGACCCTGATTAACTCACTGTAATCAATGGAAGGCACCACTGAAGAAATAATGGTAAATTAGAGGATAATATTAAAATGGACCTTAAAGAAGTACAGTGTTATGGTGTGAACTAGATTCAGAATAGGATCCAATGGTAGGATTATATGAACATAGTAATGAAGCTTTGGGTTCCATGAAAACAGAGGAATTTCTGACTAGCTGGCTGAGTGACTCTCAACTATTCAAGAAAAGACTGCACAGATCTGATTAGTTTATCGCATTTTACCCATTCCTTGGTCTTGCTGAGAGTTATCTCCTTCTCTCGTCTCCTCCGATGACTGCTTCCCTTCTTGTCTGCTAGGAGCAGCTGTGAAAAAAAATGTCACATCTGAACAGCTGCTGTGTTTCATCACCTCATAACATCAGCACAATCCTTATCATCAATATGACACTAAAATTAGTGTAAAAGTGTAATCCATTCATTTTTGAGAACATACAAAACTATTAATAATAAACTGTCTATACAACTATATTCAGAAAGTTTTCTCTGTGACATGTTTCAACCACACCAGCTCCTCTTCAGATAGGAACCACTACATGTTAAAATTCCACATATAAGAATGACCTACTACACATATACATATATATCCACATACATTCACACATTTAATGGTGTACTGACTGACAATATAGATCCACTGCCTGGGTTTCACAAAAACTAACATGTTTATCACAGGAGAACTATTTTGATTGAGATATGTAATTTCAACTTGTGCAGATTGTTTTTTATAGTGATTAAGATTAAAATGACATAAGTTGAAATATAAAATAATAGTATAAAGCATCTTGCTTTCTTGAAGTTAATGACATTTTCAGGTTATGGTGTTAGCATTGTTATAACCTAAATAGGTTAGATCTGTGATGTTAACATTTCAACAAGAATCAGGTAGTAGAATATATACTAATACAGTATAAATTGTGCACAGAAATAGATTATTAAGTTTGTAATATCTGCTCGACTGTGTGTGCATATGGAAGCATTCAAAAGAGCAAAAAGGAAGTCCTGAACCATGGCGGTATTCCCCACATTCATAAAATTTTTACTCAGTCAAAGGTGAAGGATGGGACAACTTTGTACTGTATCAGGCCAGTCTTGAACCAGAACCTTTAACATAAGAGACCAATTCCTTATCCCTCAACCTGAAGACCTCCTTTTATGAAGTTATTAAATCTTCCAAGTTGATTCTGGGTAAAGGATGCAGAAAAACTGTGAATGATTCAACTAATCTCAAAATCAGGGCCGTTGGAATGGAAGACCAAAAACATGCAGACTGATTAAAATTGAACTTCACATACATATCTTACATAATACAGTGCTCACCTTCATTATAGGCATGGTAGATCCACCAAACACCAAAGTCGTGAAGAGCACAATAATGAGTGTTGTAGTCACAATCACATGTCGCGTTTCATCACTGAACTGCAGGTGAAGAGACAGTGCATAAGCGATGGCACCTCGCAACCCTGCAACAGTGATTAGAGACATAAGCTCTATGCGTGAACTTGACCCTTGTATTTTAATGCTGTTATAATAAAGGCATAAACAATTTTTCTGAGCTTCTCTCAAATACCTTCAAACAATGGTTGCATAACTGATTTTTGACCTGCCTCACTCACAGGTTTGCTCATCACAGTTTTGCTTATTTGTGAAATATTTGTACATTGCAGTTCTTGCACAGGTGCACAGAATAATACACACCAGCTTATATTTACCTGCCTCTCAGTGGCCATGTAGACATGCCACACCAAGTGTACTTTGACTGTACTTTTCTCAGTTCTTAGAACTGATAGTTGTCATTGTGTTTGATCACCATGACAACTTTCAGCTCCATTTGGCCTGAATTTACTTTCCCCATCACAATTTTAATAATGGTAGGGCAGGTAATCATGGACATAATGAAAAAGGTGCCTGTAAATGGCTTCAGACATCTTCCAAATGTGTGGCAGTGCATCTGTGACAAGGTAGGAAACTTTACTAAAGGCTTGTAAGTGTTGGCTTTGGACAAAAATATTTTTAATTTAATACCAGTGTTGCCATTAATTTTGTACTAGCCCTTTATTTTCTTTACAACAAGTTTCACATCCACATAAAACAACTGGTACTACTGTCATGAAACTGCATTCCCAAATTATATTTTAATCTTTAGGATTTTAGAGAGGAGACAGGAAATAACCAAAGTTTACTGTACCTAAATATTCATCCAAAAGGACAGAAAAAACCATGAACCACTCCTTCAGCTTCACTTACCACTGAACCACATGATGAACATCATCTTACGGGTGATCTGGTGTTCTCGAAAGTGGTTACACAGGACAGCAAGTGGAAAGATATTGCAAGCCCGGCCAATAAGACATAGCACAATACTCCACACAACCAATGCTGGCTCCACACGGTGCTGGAAACTGAACAATGCCAATCCAAGATATGCAAAGACACATGTCTCTGCAATAAATGCCAAAGTACGCATCGTCTGTTGCATGGTGATCTGGGTTACTGTGGAGAGGTTGAAGTGAGTGTAATGTGACATGACAATTCCACAGAACAGAATTGCCATAATGCCTGTAACAACATAAACTGGTGTGATTACAGTACACTTTTACAGTATGGTGACCAGTTACACATGATATTTATCATAAGTGCCAAATTCACTAAGGAATTCACACTAGTACTACAGAAGATAGATTTCTTTTATGCATATTTAGATACATTAAACCACTATGATAGACAGTGTAGAACCAATATCTCAGATCAATTGTTGTACATGTATACAGATGGGAAATGGAAAATATGCCAAGTTTGGTATGCAAGACAACATAAAAGAAGACTCAGATGGAGTCAGACAGGCCTGGGAAGAGGTTATTCAAAACAACATTCTTATTTTTCTTCTTCTAGCATCCTTTCCATTCTACATGAATCAATGTAATATGTACCTCCAAGCTATTCTAGCTTCCCACAGTCTTTCTTTTCAGTTTCTTGGCAGGCCTCCAAGTGACTAACCTCCATGTCTGTGCTGTGGGAGGATTTACATCAAACAGGGGACTGCTTGTTGAGGTGATACACACCACAACCATGGAAGCTAAGAGGGTCCAAAAGTAACCCTCAAAACAAAGTCTCATGGGGCTCTGATGAAGCTGTGACAGGCCTAGCAAGCTGACAGTAAAAATACTTCCAAAATTATGAGAAGTCTCAGAAACAAGGATAGAATATAATGAGAGAAAAAGAAATATGATAGAATGAGTCCAAAGCTGTTTGCAATACCATTATGTTTAAGACATAACAATTTTATGCAAGCATTTGGACATATTTTTATATTCCTCCCACAAGCATAAATCTGGAAACAGGTTAAGACAGATTGGTTTAGTTACTTTCATTTCATTTAGGTTAGTGTTAAGTCAAAAAAAACCTTTCCTTTTGGGAGATGGAAGTCATGTGAGTTACTAGATGTTAAAGTTGATTCCTACATTTGTGAGAAATCAAATAAACAGCTATCAAAATATGATAATACTCACCTGACAAATGAATGCCTTCAGCAAGAGCATAGGGTGCATATGTGAAAACCAGCATCATCCCAAACTCCAGTGAAGGATTCTTTCTCAGGTCCACATGTTTCAACAGCAGTGCACTTGACAATGCAAACATAACCCCAATTCCAGCAGATGCAAAGAACATGAGGCAGAACCTGTTAAAGCCTGTGATCAGTGCCTCTGAGGATGTCATTGTTGGGCTACTAGACTCAAGAATAGAAGTTGTCAGCACAATTGCAACAGCATCATTTAGAATGCTCTCACCAAACACAAGCATGTTGAGTACTGGATCCACATTCATAGCATGAAATATGGCAACAGTGGCAACAGGATCTACAGCTGATATCAATGACCCAAATGCAAAACTCTCAACAAAGCTCAACTGATAAGCAACTTTTGCCAATCCCAACACATAGATACCAGCACCAATGACCAAGGCTGAGACAGTTGTGCCCAAAATTGCAAATACTAAGATAGAACCTATATTCTGAAAGAAATTGCCCTTATGCAAGTTATAGCCTGACTCAAATATAATTGGAGGAAGAAGAACCAAGAAGAAAGCTGTTGGAGAGAAGGCCTCTTCCTTCCTCCAATTTGCAATATTCTGATTTGACATAAGATTAAGTATGAGACCTATGAGACCGCCCAGAAAAACAATTGCAATACTTTCTGGCAAATACTGAAAGTTCTTTTGCAGCATGAAGTGGATAAGCATGATGCCTAATGCCAACACACAAAGCACAAAGAAGATAGACATTGAACTGTTGTGTTCATCTTCAGCAGAACCCTTGTCTGGTAGCACAGGCTCCCCGGGAGAAGTTGTTGTTGACGTCGTGTTTGTCATATCTGCTGTTGACTGTTCAGAAATGGTTGATGAAACAACAGAACTGATGGAACTGTTGCTTGGATCAACATACACTGATGGTAC